CGTGGGATTGTTTTTGATCCATATTATTTTCAGAGAATTTTCTATTCGGAAAAAATAACTATAATCTCAAATGTCATACAAAATAAATATCCTCATTTAGACAAATAGTAGATTATTCATGTATGCTAAAAATATAACAGACAACCCCCAAAAATACTCATCATTGAACATTTGTTATTGCTTAAACAAATTGCCACTATCATTCACAACGTTGCTACTGCAAAATATACGAATTGATTTCAAAAGAAAAAAAAATCTACTTAATGTGCAAAAATAAATGAACTAAGATTTATTTTTAGCGTTTCCTTGAAAAAATAATATAAAAACAAAGAGAATAACCTATTTTCCTATTATTTATTCCATTATATTTTCTAAAAAAAAAAAATTAATGCTGGTTTTATTTGCAATAAAGTAATAAGTATATTGTCAATGTTTCATAAAAAAATTAAAAGAAGAACAAAGTAATTTTTTTTTCTATTTATCAATGCAGTCTGTGGCATTGCCGCGTCCGTCGTCGCGACATTGTGTTTGGTAATGAACCGTTATGGCACGCACTGTAGCTTAGTTTGTCACTTGCATACTGATACTACGAGGTTATTTTACTCAGAGTCTTTGCACAGCGATATTTCACCGCGAAGTTTTCTTACTATGCACAGGTGATAAAGAATTCTGTGATTTCAAGTAAATTTCACGCGATGCGGTGCGAAAATAAGCGCCAGAATCACGGAGAGCCCGTGGATACGGGTGGCGAAAGGTTTTTTTTATATGATAGGAGGCAAACAAGCTGATGGATCACCTGATGGTAAGCGGTCAGCGCCGCCCATGGACACCCGCAACACCAGAGGAGTTACAGACGCGTTGCCGGCCTATTAAAAAGGAGTCGTACGCTGTTTTCTTGAAGGTTTGAAGGTCGTAACAGTTCAGAAATACCGTCGACGACAGATCATTCCATCGTTTTATTTTACCTTTGTCCAGCAGTGGGCGTCTTCCAGCTGTTGATGATAGTGCGAAAATAAAATCGCACGCATTTTATTGCACTGTGTGAACAGGCTCTAATATTCAATATGTTAAAGGATTGCGAAAAATAAACCTCGCGGTGAAATACCGCTGTGCAGAAATGCTCTTTGACTTTGGTATGTGACAATGTTGTGTCATAAATCAATAAATAAACAGTTATCTAACATAAAATTTTAACATACTTACATATTTTTCTATTATTACTACTACATATTTTATGACTGCACGATTGGTACGGTGGCTGGGCAACCGGCTGCGGTGCAACGTGTCGCGGGTTCGATTCCCGCACGGAACAACACTTTGTGTGATCCACAAATTGTGGTTCCGGGTCTGGGTGTCATGTGTATGTGAACTTGTATGTTTGTAAACGCATCAAAGACACAGGAGAAAGTCCCAGTGTGGGGCAACGTTTATTTAAAAAAAAATCAGTACTTTATACAGTTTGAACTTGAATTTGCGTTTTTTAGCAATCATTAATCGAACAAAAAATTGGCTTGTAGATGTATTCAATTGATCATTGTTTGGTTTTTGTTAATTACTTGTGTAGTAACCGACAAGGTTGATTAACAAAAAATGTTCGTCGCTATTTACAAATGGTGAATTGATGCTCTTCAATTAAGTTGGTAGATTGGGTTACTGAAGAGGGAATTTTGATGAATAAATAACATAACCCGAGACCCCTTGCCCGGCAGTCGCACTTGCGACCACTCGGTCAACGAGGCAGGCGTGATGTTATGTAAATAACATAACATCACGCCTTTTACCCCCGAAGGGGTAGGCAGAGTTGCAAATTATGCCACTTTATAATGTGACACCCACTTTTCACTATTTATCTTATGAGTCTCATGTAATACGGGGTGAGCTCATTGCCACATACCGGGCACAATTCCAGACTCCGTGCTAATACTGAGATATTTAAAAAAACGCAGTAATACTTTGCCCGACCCGGGAATCGAACCCGAGACCCCTTGCCCGACAGTCGCAGTTTTGATGAATCAACACTTTAATAAAATAAAAGAATACAACGCTTATAAAAGCTACATGAAAGCAATGTTGGATGTATGTATCTATATTGCATTTTCCATTTTCCTTGAACAATTTATTGCAAGCGTTTACCGTCTGTTCCTAACCTATTTAGTTCCCAGCAATCTGACTTGTTTAATTGCAACTTGCACGAAAGGTTTTATATAAAGCACAACGTTGAGTGCAAAAAGATACAACATTACTATGCAAGTAAGTAGTATTTTTAAATGACGAAAATTGACACTTACGTCCTTCTGCGGTAAACAAATAAGGAGTGTCATTCACATCAATTTTTTTATTCACAATTTAGTTTAAGTAATTCGTGGTGGAAATAATACATTATCCACTTACTTGGTAATTTTACTGTAGTAAAAAAGATAATGATCGCTGACCCATGTAATATTCGAATGTCGTTAGTGAGCAGTAAGCACGAGAGTGCTATCAATAACAAATGTACAAAAGGAATGAGGTATACCATTCGTTTTAGGTCATCAAAGTAGAGAAATGAGTGAATTTAGGGATGGGAGAAATCGCGAGGTGTTTTTTTAAGGGGGGGGGGGGGGATCATCGAATGACTTCTCCCGCCTGGGTGAGGCGGGAGGGAGTGTCAGACTCTTACTGACTAAAAACCACCCCGTTCCTACTCCTGCAGTTCGAGCCGGAGCCCGTTAGGTTCTCCGCGGCAATCCCGAGTTCTAAAGCCCAATTTCGATGGTCCTCCTATTGGTAAATTTGGCTAATTCAGATAAAATTTTGACAACAAGATAAACTCAATACAATACGGTGAAACACGCCTGCCCATAAGCAACCTAGTCACTCGAGTCTTGTCGCGGAGTACCTAACGTGTAACCGGGGCTCCGGCTCGACGTGCAGGAGAAGGAACGGGGTGGTTTTTAGTCAGTAAGAGTCTGACACTCCCTTCCGCCTCATCCAGGCGGGAGCAGTCATTCGATGATTTTCCCCCATTAAAAAATAATAAAAAAAAATTCACTCGAGTCTTGAAAACTTTTAGGTTGTAGCTTATCCTTTCAGGTAACATGATGGCGGAAAAGAATTCCACTCCTTAATGGTTATTATAAAAAAAAACAGTTAGTTGTTATCTGACAAAGGGTGAAGGACGTTTTCATTCGTGGGGACACCTAAGCTTATAATTTCTAATTAAAAGATTAAAAATTGCCAACCGGCATTGAGCAAGCTTAGCGATTAATGCTTAAACCTTCTCCGTATGAGAAGAGGCCTTTGGTCAGCAGTAGGAGTTGACTAAAAAAAATAGAGATTAGCTTTCAGTTCAATGTTGTTGTGTTCAATGCAAGAAACAAAATATCTAAACACTAATAAGGCGTTGTTTTGTGTGGCTGGACTTAATTATACAATATAATAGACGTATGGTCAGTCGAACGGAGTACAGTTATGCAATTAACATATGACTTGAAGACACAATAACTTTACGAGGTATGCATATGATAATATGGCTTAGCTTAAAATAGTTTAAATTTAAAACTAAGTTCCATGAGTAAGTTGGTAAGAATATATGTTTAAAATTAGCAGGTATTTTTACAGAATTATTTGAACAGTCTTTTAGTCTCCTCCTTAAAACTGTTGGTTTGCAAAAAAGAGCTTATTTTCATGTCTCTAAGCTGTACCGAGGAAAATTCAAATAAGTTGTTCGTATTTGCGGTTTCTCAAAAATATTTTCAATCCTATTTGTAGATCAATCCTAACAAAATTCGACACAAAGTAGGTACTTACATGAAACCATTAAACACAAAGACTTACCCAACATCAGAGAGCTAAAACATTTCTGAAATAAAATCGATGTCACTAATATCGATACAAGTATTTTTATCGATAAGTTTTTAAATCGCTTTGAGGTTATAACGACCATCGACATAAGATGGATTGAGTGGGGAAGTAGCATCGTATTTTAAAGCTCGCGTGTTGTGAACAAGCGTGGCGAAACGAATCTTCGCATACTATGTTACTGGGTAAAGAAGTGACCTAAAAACGTAGTCTAATCGATTATTTCCAAGTTTTAATCGATTAATTTCTAACCTAAATCTTCAAACCCATCCCATGCAAGTATCAAGTTACAGGTAAATTAACATTCAACATGACATCTTACATCTAAATTAGTTGCTTCGTAGTTAACTGTTGTACCTAAGTTCCGAAGTAAATCCTATTGAGACTATTAAACTCAATAGTAACTGTCAAAGTCTTTTAAACAATTATGTCTACAGCACCCCAAGAGTAGGTTATGTAGTTATCAAATATGTAATCAAACAATTAATCGATTGTATCGATATCATTAACTGACTCGATAAAGTGGAAATCAATCGATTAATCGTTACGGTATTGAAATTTAAGGCGAGTAGAGTATCATTTGCCGATTAATAGATAAGCGGGAAATTAATTGTTTAGTCGATATTGAAATTTAAGATAGGTGATGTGAAATACATATTAAATCGATACTACAAAACGTACACTCGGGACACAGGTGCTCAGTGGCTCTCCCATCGACAGGGATGAGTAATCTTGTTTGTTAGTCGTGCACAGCCGTCTTTAGACCTTTGCATGTATCACATTCTGTAAGTATAAAGCGTGGGGTGCGGTGTTAGTTCGGGCAAACAGAGGGAACGACGGCTTCGTTGACAGGACACGATCGTGTGTTATCCTTGGTAATAGCATATTACATCAGTTTTGAAATTTTTGGTCTTTATTTTTATGGCATAAAAGCGAACGGGCAATGAGATCATCTGATGGTAAGCGTTTAACGCTGCCCGTAGACATTAGACACCAGAGGTGTAACCTGTGCGTTGCTAACTTTTTAAAAAGCATCGCGCTCATCTTGAAGTTTATTTTATCAATTGCTTAGAATAAGACACGATGTTGTCCCGAAAACGAGCAGCCCACTATCTGCCTTCACTGTTGGCTCGGCTGTGTGTATACGAACATGTTTTTACCTTAGTCCTGGTCGGATTAGTTGAAGTTAAAGGCGCGTAATATGTTCCATTAATTTTATAGAAGTCGCTCTGCAAAAGAAGAAATTTGACCTGAATTTACTTTGTTTGTTTCGGGTCAATGTTGAGTCGAGACTCAATGATCTTCTTACGGAGAACTTGGAATCGCGTAGGAGTGTTGTGTAATATTCATCTTGACACAATCTTGATAGTTATAGCTGATACTCGTTAGTTTCAACATACAACAACGAATGATGGATCTAACTAAATATTTATGCGAATGCTCTTGTTTATTTTGGAGCTTTTGAATAGTTACGAAATACATTTCTTTATTTAGCCAAAAGTACCTAATTAAATGGCTATTTTGTTCTCTTTTCTGTTGATTTAATTGTGCTTTAGCTGCAGAGGTTTCCAGAAGATTTCATTTTAACAGCCGTGTCAACCAGTTCATGCAAAAACTCGTGACTTCCAGAAAAGTGTCGTTGTGGTTTAGTCTTGTTAGTATTTGTGCAGACCTATCCAATTATCCTTCAATTATTACTTACTGGTTTAAAGTAATTTACACTTTTGTGGATAAAATCCCTAACCTTATTTGTCTAGAGTGGATTTAAGACAGTTATAAATGTCTTGGCTCTAAACTTCTTTGTAGAGAAGCTTATAAGGTTGAGTTGTATTTAAGAGGAAGGTGAACTAACCTCTTGATAGAAGACTCGTTTGGAGCTGTAGCTGAGGTTGTACTGCTGGTCTGCCACCATAAGCAGAATGGTGAAAGGCAGGAGGAATGCTGCAGCAGCGAGGAAGGCGATGCAGCGTCCTAGCCGCATCATACTGACGTTTCTACGACCTACCGCCATGTTAAAACTAAGTAACAATGATTTTGATTCCAATTGTTTTAGCGCAATTCATTTGTTTCTTCTTGAGTTCACTGCGGTATCTGTAACAAAAGGAGTTTTGGATTAGATTGTGTGTATAAATATACTAGATGTTCCCCGACGACTTCATCCGCGTATAATAATGGCTTTGGCAAAATTTAGATTATTTTATTTATTTTTTCTAAGGTTAATTCCAATACTGTGTAATTAATCTCATTAGAATCGATTCAGTACCTAAGTTATTATGATTGTGAAATAAATTCATTTTCGTGATTTCAAAAAATAAACAATTCCACAGGCGTTTTACCGGTATAGTATCCGTTCCCGTAAGGTTTCAGTAATAAAAACTATTCTATAGATGTCTTTCACCGGGTTGCAAACCATAATTGTAAAAGAGTTGAATAATAAATAGTGCATCTATTGGACACTGGACGCAGAACTCATACATTACTACTCACATTAAGGTTTGCGCATTCACACATTTGACATGATACTTAGGTACTATTTCAATAAATCGGTACGATTTCACAGTACTTTAAACTACGATTTATGTTTTTCATGTTTAAAAAAAAAATTAGCACTTATAGTCACGAACACACACGTCGGTAAATGTAAAAAGTAAATCAACCACGAAGTGTTAAGTAAAATTACCTATTTAAAATTAGAAGCGCACGCGACTCGATTCTTGTTAGATTATTATTTATCGATACTAATCGATCACTATCTCGATTCATGTCAAAGTTTAGATAATAATCGATAGACAGTAAACATGCTACGGAAACTATATTTTATCGTCCGTCGTTAAAATTATGTTTAATATCGTCAGTTAGGTAGTTTGTTAACGTTTCCTAATCTTTGAAGAATAATGAGTTATGTTTTTTTCAAAGACGTAACTACCAAAAGTAGGTATTCAACTGAATACTTAGACATGATTTTGTATAGATAAATATATATATAGATACATATAGATATAGACAGATAGATAGATATACATAGATTGATAGGCAACTGCCCATCCATCTATAAATAATAACAAAATCATGTCTTCCAATTCCTTAAAAAAAATATGTACTTAAGAAAATGTTTTAAGGTATTTACAATGTAAAATCCAGTTTTCACTAGATATTTAGGGCTTCTCGCATAGTCGAACATAATAGGGTATGAACCTCATGTCATCCACACACTGAACAAAATTTCAAAACCGTCTAGACTACTGATATTTTTGGAAAAAAGCCGCAAAGAAGCCTATAGGTAATACTTGCCCGTACCAAAAATTAAACTGCACGGATATTGCGTTAGTGGCTACTCGACCAATGAGGCATTCTATACAGTAAAGTCTATTAAATCGAGTTCGAGTGTGCTCTTGACTTCAAAAACATTTAGATACGAACGGTACGTAAACACTAAACACATTTGTCTATTTGAACGGACCAAACTGCCCAATTATCACTTCCTTACAAAATATTAATGTTTCATTACTATTTCATATTTACACACTAAAAACCACAATGTCTTGAGTACTTACGTACTTACCTAGGAGTCTTTTGAGTGACTTCTGTTATTGACAAAGATGTCAACTAGACATGTTAGTACTTAGTAATGCCGATAGTAATGTTATGTTTATTGATGAGATCGTGTAAACAGCCTTATTGAAGGAACTGACTAATGGTACCCTAACCCTATATTTATAAACTAGCGACCCGCCCCGGCTTCGCACGGGTGCAATATGCATGTATTATACATATAAAGCTTCCTTACTTCGTAGAGCGATTGCTCTACCTATTTAAAAAAACCGCATCAAAATCCGTTCCGTAGTTTTAAAGATCTAAGCGTACATAGAGACAGACAGATGGTGGATAGCGACTTTGTTTTATACTAGAGGTATGTAGTGATGTGGTGAAGAAAGTCGTGTTGGCTTAAATTTGGTGGAGAGGTAGCTTAGAACCAAGAGATGGACATAGGATAATTTTTATCCAAGGATTTTGCGGAAAATCTTACAGTAACGGGAAAAAATAGGATTGCGCGTGTAGTAGCGGGAAGAAGCTAGTAAACTACTAAAGTATTCCAGTCAACTTAACTTTTACCGTAATTCGGTAATTCCTGTTTCGATTCCTTCAAGGCCGTTGTCAAGTAGTTTTTTTTTTGTTACAAGGCTGCATAGAAACCCGCGCAAATCATTTCATAATATCACCCCAATACCAACGCAACGTAAAAGACAAACGATAAAAGGTACAAATGCCTACATTTTCACATCTATAATATTATCAAATAAGGATTTAAGAAATCTCTGTCTAAAGTCATCGCTAAGGGTCCCTTATTTACGGAGCTGCGGAAGACTTAGCAGGTCCGTAAATAAGCAGGAGTAGGAACGGGGTGGTTTTTAGTCAATAAGAGTCTGACACTCCCTCTCGCCTCACCCAAGCGGGAGAAGTCATTGGATGATTTTCCCTCCTTAAAAAAAGGTTCCCTTATTGTGGTACAAATCTGCCTAATTCGAATAATTTATGTCTGTTGTACCTGTATGTAGCAATACATAGGTAATTAGAGATAGGTATGTGCTAATGTACTGTTTCATTGACAGTAGAGATGTGGGTGAGCCAAATAAAACTGTCACAGTTCTAAATTTAGATAATCACCACATCACCACGGATGTTGGTCATTGAATAAGTACCGCACTTTTCATTATGAAGCGGCTATTATGCTTCTTATGTCACGAGGAATGTGATGTCAAAATCGGTCAGCATAGACCAGAGGCCTTAAAATGAGTTTGTTTTACGTTTATAAGTAATCGATTCTTTGACTGCACGTTTGGCTCAGTGGCTGGGCAACCAGCTACCGAGCAACGTGTAGCGGGTTCGATTTCCACACGGAGCAACTCTTTGTGTGATCCACAAATTCTTGTTTCGGGTCTGGATCTCATGTGTATGTGAACTTGTATGTTTGTAAGCGTACCCACGACATAGGGGAAACTCTTGTGTAAGGCAATGTTTTTACAATAATAAAAAATAAAAATAAAAAAACGAATGATGAACCAACCAAGAGCGCCAAACGCAGTCTGGTTTTAAAGACTACATACCCTGTCATCATCCCAATTCTAGGTTGGTATTCCAATTTTAGAAACTTCATAAAATATGTTATAAGCAAATAGATTCAGTGCCTAAATGACCGGAGAGGTCAATATTAGAATTTTCATTAATGACTGTTAATTACTAATGACTGCCAAACTAAAGTGCTTCTTTGTCAATTTTATTTTAAATGTTTGACATTATAGAGCCTATGTAAGAAAGCGTCTTCCTAATTTTCCTATTACCTCTTTTACAACTTCAACAGACAGTATCTAAGTACATAATACTCATCTGGTGTTGCGGGTGTCCAAGGGCGGCGCTGATTGCTTACCTTCAGGTGATCTGGCTGCTCGTTTGCCTCCTATTCCATAAAAAAAATATGCTGACGAAAACTAATCTATATTTGCTCTTCCTGACTTCCAAAATTCAAATTTGTCAAACAATAAACTGACCTTCGGGGCTCAGAGTCTGCACTTATTTCATCTTTTTTCCCATTAGACAGTATGACAGGGCAGTATCTTTGTCCATCTATATTGTTCGCTAATGTCGGCCAAATCATCTCGTAATAATATGACTATATTTCGCACAAAAAAAAAAACATAAAAAGGCTCTTAAAAGCATAACAGGATTACCATGATTTATGGCATTCAACTTAATGATGTTCTCAGCGTATTTTTTGTTCCATTTAATTTTTAATTTTACTCCTGGACAGGTTTTAAATGCGCTATATTGTTTTGTGGACGGGTGTATAATGAGATATGGTTTTTATTGATACTAAAGTTTGAAGAAGATCTTGTTTTCAAATTAGAAATATAGTGCAAGAGTATATAAAAAACTTAAAGAAGTTATTAATAAGTTTCCATGAACTTTTCATGAAGACTATAAACTACAATATAAGGTACCACATGTAGTTAGGAAAAAAATAAAACAAAAGAAGTCATAAAAAAGATACACATGTTTTTGCCCCAAAACAATGTATTTAACACTTCATAACACTTCCAGGACTGCGCAGGGAATCCCAAACATATCCCTGTCATCCAATTACAGTAATGGAATAAGAAAAGAAAATCGTAAATGTTTATAACGTCGGAATCCCTATGTGATACCTGAAAAAATTCCAAAAGAAACTTTGGAATAAGCAGTTTAATTTTTAAGGGATTATCTACCTTCCGAGCCGTGGAAACTGGAAAATTGGTTTGCTGCGAATCCATTCGACCGTGTCTTTTTATTGTATGACATCTGCATTGTGTAGAAAACAACTTTGAAATTGCGACCCGATATTACGTAAGGGTATGCCTAATAACTGCTGAATACCATAATAAGGGACAGGCAATGGCCATTTTTATTGTTTTTCTGTTTCCTGGCAGTCGTCTTGGAAACACATGGAAGAATTCACAGTTGTGTTATTATGGTATTGTTATATTATAGTGTTATCTAATGTTGCGTATTCTGACCTGCAGCTGTAGCCAAATGCCATTTAGCGCTTGTCTACATGTAGAATAGAAAACCAAATTATATGGATTTGACGTTGAACGCTAAGTGGCATTTGGCTACAGCTCCAGAGAATCGAATTGAGTTGACGTTCAAAAGCGCCTTCCTGGTCTAATTGAAATAAATGATTTTGACTTTGAATATTTTTTTTTTATATTTGATGGGCCGACGTTTGGCCACTATCTCGCCTGGTGGTAAGTGATGATGCAGCTTACGATGGACCATGTCTTCCCTTAAGCCACGTATTCACTCGGGCCTTTCAAGTTCTAATGCCCAGCAGGTAACGCAGACTCTGGCAAAGAATGAGACCTCACACTTGGTAATTGAGCTGTGATCACTCAACCAATTAAAGAAGTTAAAGTATCCATAATCTTGTTTAAGTTCAGATAACGCAAGGAATACAGGATGGGAGATGAGACAAAGCTCTTATTCATAAGAGTCATAAGGTAAATATTTACACGTGATTATCACAAGCACAAACACAGGGTGGAAACGGAACATTTCCG